GAAAACTAGCCGAAACTTCAATCTAGTCAGGCATATCAGGATGAACTTTTTACCACAAGCGTTTCTCGTCAAGACAAATCATCCCCCTTAATGAACTTATCTCATTTGTATCATTATATTATTCGTGAATAAGCCAATGAAATTTATGAATTAAATCTGTCTTATCGTTTATCACTTTTTATACTGATGTGATAAAGTTATTGATCTGTATATATCGTAGAATAGTACTATATGAAATGAAAAAAAGTTGATTTAACATTTACAAAATATGTTCAAATTTTTTTCACAAGTCATTGAATATATGTAAATAAACTAAGATAGATGTAAATACTATAGCAAAACATTTTGTATCTGTGTAGTTATATATCATAGTTATATAACGAAAACCAGACGTCATCCCTGACAACTGTGACAATAGAGTTAAATTCGGTAAGTGAAAAGAACAAAAAGGCATGCGTTCAAAATCCGATGTTAAATCATCAACCTCACCAGGAGATGAAAACATATCAAGCAAGTCTATCTGCCAAAGGTTCATCATATAAGAGTACTGAGAAACGTGGAAATCGAAGAAAAATTCTCAGTAAAGGAACTGCCATATTCTTGGATTGAAATGGAGTTTGTCACTCTTCTTTCCTTGGGCACATAGATCGAAGAAAGAATAAAGAATTTTTTCACCAAACTACATTATATAAAAATGAAAAGAATAATAGTGTCAAACAAAAAGCTCTTCCAAAGATTTACAGGAGCAAGAAAAAAATTATAATTCAACGACAATTCGAAAATGAAAACCTAAGTACGAAAACTTAATTTGACCTTAAACCGCTGTGTTTTTAACAAATTATTTCATGCACTGCAACACAAACGGAGACAATCAAGTCATTCATTGATTCCGCTCCGACCGATGGGACAGCAACTTCAGACAGCCACAGTGACCTTACACAAAACTATCTGAATCCACAGGAAGATTCGAATAAATGTCTTTTAACAAGAAACTTAATTCACTGAAAAAAATTGACCCGAAGAGAAGTCATCATATAGTACTAAAACGGCCGCTGGCCATCGCAATCGCTTAAGACACTTCTACCAATCTAGTAGTACTATTCTCATAGTACATCGAGATAAACATCTTTACTATTAATCACAAAGAATTAAATAAAAATTCTGGAACCTAAGTACCCCGTGCGTTTCGAAAATGATTGCACTTATTGTATTCAGTAGAGATTATAGTAGAAGAATCGATGTTGATACTGTTGTGTTGATCGACGAAATGAATTCATCACACGTAAAACAGATCTTTATATACCCGAAGGCGTGAGAGACGACAACAACCTAGGAGAAACTACAACAAAATAACGGTCACGTCTCATATTTGCAATTTCAAGATGAACTTTTAACAACTATTTCTGAAATTTTACTTTTTAACAGTCCTCTTTTTATTATAAATAGAATGACAACGTGTATTGTGAAGCCCTGAATAAGTTAAGATACGTACAAGCAGGATTTCATATGTAAAATATCGTTTTTTATGAGCCGCTCATGTAACAATCACCCTCCAAATCTTTAAAAAAAACATTTGGTGTTGATATAAATGAAAACAAAAACTATGATAATGAGATATGATGTTCATTTCAATTTTTCAGGCCTTCTGCTTATATGTGATAGTGACATGCATTAATAATAGCTTGTTGTCAGATCAGAAAAAGAGAGAAAGCAAACAACATAAAGTTGCACATACTCTTCATACCTATTTTTGTTTCGATAAGATACGACTCTATTTGAGCAACAACATACTAAATTGCTTACTTATGATGATTAGTAGCTAATACCAAGTGTGCAACCAGAAGCTATGCTTGAATTCACCAATGTAGGTTAGAAATGTTATAGAGTGTATACAAGTAGCCATCAATTATTATCTAATAGTCGTTTAAATCGGAACATCATTTCGTATCTGTCCTTCTTTCATACATGAAAATAAATCCTGTTTAGCAGGCTAAGAATTAAAAATAAATTTGTTAACTTGATATACTTGTAGCAGATGTTATTTGCTTAACATTTAGCTTTCAAATGAGCAAATAAACAATGAGTATTTCAAAAGAAGTGAAAGAATTAATAATATTGGTTAGAGAAACCTTTATAAACGAATAATGCAGCTACTTTGACGAAGCGGCAACGTTCCTTGTCTCTCTATTTTTAGTTCTTCAGTATATTCGAGACGACAGAGATTTTTTATACATCCTAATCACAACAGGAGACTATAATTTCCTCATCAAAATGCTTAAATTATAAAAAATTAATCGTTACAAGCACACTCGTACGTAAAAAGGTGACAGTAATCAGCAACAAATGGCACTTGGAATGTGTCTTGCGTCAATTTGGTGACAGAAGAATCAACTGACATTATCATACAATGTAACAATCGGATCTGATGTCCAATAAAACAGCAACGATCCTCACTGATATATTGAGAGCCACAAAGAGACACTGTGTAGATCCATTGATGCATTCAACGAAAAGCCTTTTGGAAGCATAAATAATCCACAATATCATAGAAACAAACACTATTGAACGCAGCGATTTCGTACTGAATGCTCAGAACGATAAAATAGTATTCTAGGCGACATACAAGAACATTCCAACAGGCATTTGAAAAGTCTCAAATAATGAAACCCATACTGGTAGATTGAAGATGTGAACAGAAAAGACGAAACTAGCTCCGATCCGAAAAAAGAGCACAGAAACCGTTATCCATAAGTATTACGAATTCCGAAACCTAGTACCAAAATGAAGAGCTTTAGACACCATTCGTAACCTAAAAGCAGAAGAAACCATGTGAGCAACGTGATCCAAATGCAATTGAATACAGATGAAAAGCAGATTGACCTATTTCTTTGTCATATAAGTCAAACTGCAGCACGCACCTCTTGATTTTCAGCTATTGGCCTAGCCGAAATAATTCTCAAATATTGATGATGTGCTAAAAAAGAAATGATTAGTACAGAAAAATGCAGAGTTAATTTAATCGACGCGTCTCGTATCATTTATCGAAATATGGAAACACTGATATTTGTTGTTTGCCCAAAGCAGCGATGCATGAAGATGTTAGACAGACAACAAAAAAGAAACATGATTCTGAACGTAATGCTTCATTTGCTGGCAAGAAACTGCCTGCCATTCTTCACTATGTCCGATACTGAACGAGAATAGTAAATAGTTTTGTCGGTGATACCTTTTCAATTAACTTCGATCCATTCAACTTACTCATAAACTAATGTACAATCTTATCTTTCTCGAGATTCGTTCCCTATGGCGTAAGAGTAGAGCCATTAGGTAACACTAAATATAAAACTCCTAATTACATTGCACTCTTATCTCTAAAGACAAGACAGCAAAAAAGTGAATTCATCTTGTACAGATTGCAGCTCATTTCTCTGCAGCCAACCATTACATGACGAGTAACTCATTTTTATTCATATTCATCGCCTCTTTCGAGACTTATGTGAGACTTGAATCGATAACCCACAAGGCCTTACAGGCTTTACTTCTACAATTCGCTCAGCGAACGCTTTCTACCCATGCTATTTACACTATTGACTGTGGCAACTTTTGAAATTCCACAGATGCATTCAGAACATGCACTCCTACTACTCGCCTTACTCTTACACTTTCTTATCATACAGTTCTGAAAAAAGCAGAAGAAAATTATGACACTCATCATAATACTACTTCCAACATCCATCGGCAAGTTGCTAAAAAAACAAAACAATCAAAACATCCCACACATGCGATTATCAACCAGCACCCTAGATGCTAAAGGAAGAATCCGACAAACTCATCCAGATACAAAGGCAGTGAAGCCGACGTCACAAACGATAGTCATGCCAAAGCAAATACCACAAAGCCAACAAAATACATTTACATCAGTACTATACGGCTAAAACCTGAAAAACTCGACCAAAAACCGGAGCCAACCTCCTTCTCGTTGGTATCCACCCGCGGTCACTAAACCTCAAACATCGCCGATCAACCCAAACTGGGCAAAAACATATCTTCTCTAGAAAACAGGTGTCACGTGACTGGGTAAAAATCTTACACATGAAAAAGTTTTTGATCATCACATTCAAGAACCAGTCTCAAAACATCCGAAAACAGAGGACACATACCATCTAAAAAATTTTTCGCATCTCACCTATTAACACGTGACAAGAACCCCAAAAACAGGCAGAAAAACGCAAATAACTTCGAAACGAAAGCGGCTATCAAAAACTTTTGGAGAGACGAACCTCCTATTTTTTTCAAGCTCTATCCAATGAAACCAAACCGAACTTCCTAAACCTTAAAATAACGAAAGGTCATTGAGTACTTTGAAAAAAAAACTCGAAGTTCCTTGCACAAATTAAAAAAATTCGATTGCACACGAAGAGATGCCGCCTTGTAACGAATGAACACTTGTTACTCTTGCACAGTTAAGTGGAAAAACGCTGAATTATAATATTTATCACGGCTTGCAACGGGCATTCAAACGCCGCATCTCTTGCGCACACATCGCAATAGTGTGAGCGCCAAGAAGGGAGTTTCTTTAAGAAAACGTGATACTTAATGTGGGGCGGAGAGTACCTAACTCCTACCCCCTAAAATTCTTGTCAAGATACACCTTGAGGAATATCTTTAAATGAAGACTGTGATCAAAGACCAACAATAATAGAAGATACAGTGGGTGAATTAGGCAAAAACTTTCTACAAATCGAAACGGATGAACTTATTTAACATCTATATATGATAGTTATGATTTATTTACTAAAACATATAGAAACAAATGATATTATATCATCAAATACTAATTCTCAAATAGATATGCCATCTTTCATCATATGTTTCTATAAAAAATCTAGTATTTTAATAGTTTGATTCAATATAGGATTATTTTTAATACACCTTCTTACACATACAATATTTAAATCTTATGCACTATATTGAGTAACACAAACTATTCGAATATGCAATCAAACATTTGAAAAATGACCTGTAAATTCATATATATTTCTCATTGATACAATTTTTATATTATTATGATGGAGTTCAATAGCTATATCAAGTGAACTTGATAAAAGAGCAGTAGAACATCTATTAGAATATATATTTGTTAATGCTCTAACTTTTATTATATATAAATCAATATCAGATCCGGATGTAAAATCAAAACATAATGGAATAGTCTTAGCATTAATTGGAATACTATTAGCTATTTATATATTAGCATATAATCAAATAAATGATTAAGAATAAAAAAATTTCCTTTACTATTAAATTTCAATGGGACATTAAAAAAATTAGCCATAGTTGTTCTCTGGCTATCGTTATAGTTGAAGTATGAAGTCGAAGGAAAACAGAATATCATAATCAAAATAATTGTATAGTTTGAATAAAATATCTTCTTCAATCAGTTGATTTAAGTGTTGAAGAGTTTCAATCATCAAGCAATAGTTAACAATTAATAAATAGAAGTAAATATATAGATAAATATGAACAACATCTTTCAATTAGTGTTCAACATATAACGAATGATTTTATTTTCAACGTGAAGTTTTCTTAGTGTTTTGATATGCTATGTCACATTTGTTGACAACATAATGATGATAATGTTCTATCACACTTATTGGAGACCTTTGAAATCATACTTAAATATATAAATTTATATTATTTTGATCAATTATTAATTTAAACTCAAAATGAACAACCAGATATCCTAGTAAATAAAAAAAATGATGAATGAGATTCAACATTAATAATTAACAATGAAAAACGAACATCAGCTGCTAAACTTGTTGGACAACTTATTTCAAACTATCTAATATAAAAACAGACGAATTATTTATAATTTTTTTATCCCTATTAGATATACACTTAATATAGATGGTATGATAAAAAGTAATGATGAATCACGTATTAGTATAAAATGCCCTACATTAACATTTCTATTGCATTTATCAACAATTTGATGATCCTGTTGAAATTATTTTTAATTCTTGTTGGAATGTTTTTTCTAAAGTTTTCGTTCAGTAAAATAGATTTATTTTATAATTGGAAATTATTTCCAATGTTGTAATATTGATCGCTTCAAATAGTTAAGATCTCAAAGCTTTAGTGAAAGTTATCTAATAGATACGACAATTTCACTATTAAATTGTTGAAACAAAACGATATATAACATCTATATTAGAATCTGAAATTTTCAGAATGAATATTTCTCCCTATAGATTCAACAGTTTTAGTCCTATTTCTATGTTTAATTTATTTTTTCAAAGCCACCATACTGTTATGCGAAACGAATAAAAGATTACCAGAGACAGTTCAAAATTATGTTAGAAAAGCAACGTCCTCTTTTGTCATAATCAATGTTTTATTTGTTTGTTTTTAAAGATATTCAATTATGTATATTAGCTGAATTACTTTCTAGATTTCGATCATGTCTCAATTCTATTAAACATATTGCAAGTTCTTATATTCTTGCTAAACTAGATAAAGAAAATTTATGATTATAATAATTTTTTCGGTATATAAAATAGGTTGCTCTAGCTTAAATTAAAGGTGATATGGATTTTCGAATATTCTTTTCTCTTGAACAAACACAACAATTTTTAAAAAAATAGTAGATTTTTGAATAGACATAATTCTATAGGAGAGAGCAGATATCTTGTTGTTTTTTTTCTTATACTTTTCTATATTTTACTGATGATGATCTACATGTCGGTCAAGCAACTGTTTCAACTTTTCCTAACTATATATATTGTAGAGATGGCAAATGGGTACTTTTATTATTTGCATCGCAAAATCTTCAAGTTTGTTTTTATGAAGATGAAAGATACGAGAAAATCTGACACTTTTATAATAAACTAATTCTATGGAGAAATTTATATTTCTAACATTTGAATTTATAAGTCTATTTTATTGCAGTAAGTTAGTTATTAAGAATATTTTTTTATGTTAGTG